TAATACCTTTGAAAAATGGAATTTTCTAATAAATGCTACCTATAATTTTTAGACACTTTAGTGCTTTTTAAAAATACCAAACCACACTCTCAATGTATATTAATGTAGTCTAAACATATTTTCACGGTACATGGTCATCATACCTAACTTTCCAACGGATAGTTTATTTACACTTCATGTAAGATTTAATTAGTGTACTAATCCCTATAAAATCTATATTTTCTAAAATAATGAGAACATATAAATTCTCAATCCACTTTAATATTCATAATATGTCAGTTCATGATGCAAATATGCATTAAAACAAAAATAAAAAAAAATTCTAATTTTTCTTGAAATATGTTGGTTAACCCCTTTGAAAAAATTGAATTTTCTGATAAATGCTATCTGTAATATATAAACACTTTAGTGCTGTTTAAAAATACCAAACCACACTCTCAATGTATATTAATGTAGGCTAAACCTATTTTCATGGTAAATGGTCATCATTTCTAACTTTCCAACGAGTAATTTATTTAAACTTGATATACGATCTAATAAGTGTCCTAACCCGTATAAAATCTCTATGTTATAGAGAAATGAGAACATATAAGGTCTCAAACCTCTTTAATATTCATAATACGTCAACTAATGATGCAAATATGCATTAAAACAAAAATAAAATAAAAATCTAATTTTTCTTGTAATATGTGGGTTAATACCTTTGAAAAAAATGGAATTTTCTGATAAACGCTACCTATAATTTTAGACACTTTAGTGCTTTTTAAAAATACCAAACCACACTCTCAATGTATATTAATGTAGTCTAAACATATTTTCACGGTACATGGTCATAATACCTAACTTTCAAACGGATAGTTTATTTACACTTCATGTAAGATTTAATTAGTGTACTTATCCCTATAAAATCTATATTTTCTAGAAAAATTAGAACATATAAAGTCTAAAACCACTTTAATATTCATAATATGTCAGTTCGTGATGCAAATATGCATTAAAACAAAAATAAAAAAAAATCTAATTTTTCTTGAAATATATGGATTAATACCTTTGAAAAATATTGAATTTTCTCATAAATGCTATCTATAATATTTAAACACTTTAGTGCTGTTTTAAAATACCAAAACACACTCTCAATGTATATTAATGTAGGCTTAACCTATTTTCATGGTATATGGTCATCATTTCTAACTTTCCAACGAGTAATTTATTTAAACTTGATATACGATCAAATAAGTGTCCTAACCCCTATAAAATCTCTATTTTATAGAGAAATGAGAACATATAAGGTCTCAAACCTCTTTAATATTCATAATATGTCAACTAATGATGCAAATATGCATTAAAACAAAATTAAAAAAAAATCTAATTTTTCTTGAAATATGTGGGTTAATACCTTTGAAAAAAATGGAATTTTCTGATAAATGCTACCTACAATTTTAGACACTTTAGTGCTTTTTTAAAATACCAAACCACACTCTCAATATATATTAATGTAGTCTAAACATATTTTCACGGTACATGGTCATCATACCTAACTTTCCAACGGATAGTTTGTTTACACTTCATATAAGATTTAATTAGTGTACTTATCATTATAAAATCTATATTTTCTAGAATAATGAGAACATATAAAGTCTCAATCCTCTTTAATATTCATAATGTGTCAGTTCATGATGCAAATATGCATTAAAACTAAAAAAAAAAAAAATTCTAATTTTTCTTGAAATATGTGCGTTAACCCCTTTGAAAAAAATTGAATTTTTTGATAAATGCTATCTAAAATATTTAAACACTTTAGTGTTGTTTCAAAATACCAAACCACACTCTCAATGTATATTAATGTAGGCTAAACTTATTTTCATGGTACATGGTCATCATTTCTAACTTTCCAACGAGTAATTTATTTAAGCTTGATATACGTTCTAATAAGTGTCCTAACTCCTATAAAATCTCTATTTTATAGAGAAATGAGAACATATAAGGTCTCAAACCTTTTTAATATTCATAATATGTCAATTAATTATGCAAATATGGATTAAAACAAAGCAAAAAAAATTCTAATTTTTCTTGAAATATGTGGGTTAATACCTTTGAAAAATGGAATTTTCTGATAAATGCTACCTATAATTTTTAGACACTTTAGTGCTTTTTAAAAATATCAAACCACACTCTCAATGTATATTAATGTAGTCTAAACATATTTTCACGGTACATGGTCATCATACCTAACTTTCCAACGGATAGTTTATTTACACTTCATGTAAGATTTAATTAGTGTACTTATCCCTATAAAATCTATATTTTCTAGAATAATGAGAAAATATAAAGTCTCAATCCTCTTTAATATTCATAATATGTCAGTTCATGATTCAAATATGCATTAAAACAAAAATAAAAAAAATTCTAATTTTTCTTGAAATATGTGGGTTAACCCCTTTGAAAAAATTGAATTTTCTGATAAATGCTATATGTAATATATAAACACTTTAGTGCTGTTTAAAAATACCAAACCACACTCTCAATGTATATTAATGTAGGCTAAACCTATTTTCATGGTACATGGTCATCATTTCTAACTTTCCAACGAGTAATTTATGTAAACTTGATATACGATCTAATAAGTGTCCTAACCCTTATAAAATCTCTATTTTATAGAGAAATGAGAACATATAAGGTCTCAAACCTCTTTAATATTCATAATATGTCAACTAATGATGCAAATATGCATTAAAACAAAAATAAAAAAAATTCTAACTTTTCTTGAAATATGTGGGTTAATACCTTTGAAAAAAATGGAATATTCTGATAAATGCTACCTATAATTTTTAGACACTTTAGTGTTTTTTAAAAATACCAAACCACACTCTCAATGTATATTAATGTAGTCTAAACATATTTTCACGGTACATGATCATCATACCTAACTTTCCAACGGATAGTTTATTTACACTTCATATAAGATTTAATTAGTGTACTTATCCCTATAAAATCTATATTTTCTAGAATATATTTTCTAATATATTTTGAAATATGTTGGTTAACCCCTACGAAAAAGATCGAGTTTTTCCAATAAGCGTTATATACTGAAGTTTAGACTTTTTCTTGTTGTCTATGTTGGATTCATCTATGCATTAAAAGAAAAATATTATATTTTCTAATTTTTTGAAATTTGTGGGTTAACCCCTACGAAAAGATCGAGTTTTCTGATAAACGTTATATACTAAAGTTTAAGCTCTTTCTTGTTGATTAAAAATATATAATATATATTTATATTAATGTATGTTAAACTTATTTTCATGATATATGAGCATAGTTTCTAATATTTTAGTGAGTAATTTAATAATATTTCATATTCCACCTAAATCAGTTGAATTATCCTATAAAATTTGTATTTTCTGAAAAACTGGGGAAAATAAGCTCTACGTCTCTTTAATCTTCATCACATATCATTGCAATTTATCTTCCAAAAAAGATCGAGTTTTTTCAATGAATGTTATATATACTAAAGTTTAGTCTCATTAATGTTGTTTTAAAAATATCTAACCACAATCTAAATTTATATTAATGTATGCTAAACATATTTTCATAGTACATAGACATCATTTCTAATTTTCAAACGAATAGTTTTTGTAAATTTCATATACCACTTAATTAATGGATTAACCCCCAAAGACATCTAAGATCTCAAACTTCTTCAATCTTTATACTATGTCAGTGCATAATTGATATGTCACTATATAATATAGCATCATATATATGTAGGTGTCTCATTTATGTTTAGGTTAGCCTCTCGTCTGGTTCTCTTGTTTATGGGCTTCAAAGTACTTTAGAAGACTCTTTGCCTGAAACAAACAAAAGCACAGAAACAGTTATATCATTTATTACCAAACAAGAAAGAGGAAACACACAATGCAAAGAAAAGAAACCTTCTCTTTGGCTCTAGCTGTTCCTGATCTAGTAAGAGCCACAAGAGGTGGAATAGCTCCTTCTCTTATGACAGTGTTGCAGAATCTTGAACTATCCATACAAAGCAGGCAAAGTGCTGCAGCTGCATTCTCTTTGCCTCTTGGTGAACCCAACTCCACAACCTCCACCAATAGTGGTATCCCTCCTTCATCTCTAATCGCTTTCTTTGCTTCTTGTATGTTTGCAAGATTAGCCAACACAACCACAGCTCTCTCCACCAGTCCACCTGCAGGATCCATCATCCTAACCAAGTACCTAACTCCTCCAGCTTTGATTACTTTCTCTTTCTCCCTATAGCGTTGCGTGAGGTTGAATAGAGCAGTGGCTGCGTCTTTCTTGGCTCCGTGACTTCCATTTCCCATTAGCTCAACTAGTGGCTCAATAGCTCCGGCTTCTACTATCTTTGCCTTGTTCTCTTGGGTTCCAGACAAGCTTACTAGTGTTACTGCTACGTTGGCTTTGGCTTCTAGGCTTCCTGTTTTGAGAACGTGAATGAACGGCTCTATAGCTTTACTATTTGTGATGACATATTTGTTGTTGCTGTTGGTGTTGAGGGATAAGTTGAGCAAGGAAGTTGCAGCGTCCGCTTGGATCCTCTTGTCTGTGGAGTAAAGCATAGTGACTAACGAAGTGATTGCTCCACACTTGACAAACACAGGACGATGGTCTGTACTCTCTTTTGATAGCATCCTGATCTGAGCTGTGGCCTCTCTTTGTGCATCTAAAGAAGAAGAACTCTCAAGATCCTGAATCAGTTTCTTCACCTCTGCTTCCATACTTGAACTGCTTCCAGCTTCTTTTATGGTCGCTGGGATGATCCAGGGGTCACGAACAGTGCTTCTTTTGGTTTTGGAAACAAGTTTAGAGACAATGCCTGGTGCAGAAGCAGACCTAGTTAAGACCTGACGCAGCTCCTCGCATTTGGTAGATTCTTTATGGTCATTCTCTGATGATGAACCACCTGATTCAACAAGAAGAGGGAAAGGCTGACTTGAGTGAAGCAACTCCAATGGATCAGGAGGATTGACATTGTATGATTCACACCAGTTGGCAATGAGTGCCTTGACAGTGAAGTTAGGTGTCAAAGTGGTCTGAGACAAAGCCTGCCTTGTCTTTGGGCAAAACATGAGTCCCATATCAAACCATTTTTCGATAAAAGCCCGTTCGTATGTTTGTCCAGATGTTACAATGACAGGATCAGTCATAAGATCAAGCGATAGTGGGCAGCAAATGTCAGAAGGTAACTGAGATTGCTTTATGTTGGCAAGGTAGTCATGCATGTGCATTATCAGAGAGATCAATCCCTCTATAAACTCAGCTTCAGTGTTGTTCTCTCCATCTTCCTTCATGTTTTCAAGTAGCACACCTTCAATGAGAATCTCCTGGTTGGATTTCAAACCAACACTCTCAGCAATTTTCACCATAACCTCTGGAGTAAGTTCAACACCTTCTCTTTGATCTATCAGAGCTAGATCAATAGTATAAGAAACTTCCTCTTTTCCAACTAACTTCACCAGCTCTATGCACTCCTGCAACATTAAACAATGTCACAAAGATCCAAATCAACTAACAGAACCTAGAGAGCATTGTTGTGAATGAACAACAAACACAAATTAACTTCGAAAAAAAGAAACTTAGAAAGCAAAACGAATTGAGACAAATATCCGTTTTAGGGTTTGTATATGGATTATGTGAATTAATATACAAATCATAAGACAGTTCCATAATGAACCAACACTACACTCAGATCCTTGAACATTGCGAGTATTACCTCAAAAGATGGTGAAACCAAATCAGCAGGTAAATGTTGTTCACAGTACTGTTTGAGAAGCTTAAAGACTTCCAAACTGGAATCCCGCAACTTTGATTCTAATGATTCAATTTTAAGAACCTGGTGGTGATACACACAAGATAGGTTAGTTAGTAAGAGATAAAAAAATTAGCTAAGAAAAGAGTTATGTTGTTTCTTTACTTACATAAAAGATTCTACTAGAAAGAGGTTGCCAGCTCTCAAACTGCTCTCTTAGCTCATCAACGTATTGAGATACCTCTTCAAAGCCTTTGTTAAGCAAGTCGCTAGGAGACGCATCAGAGCCAAGAAGTTTGTTAAGAAGAGGCACAAGAAGCTTTGCAATGTCTTCTCCTCTGGTGTAATACTTATGAGCTGGGTTTGAAAATAACTTGTCTGTTGATGATATACTTAGATATGAGGAGATGTTATCTACAAGAACTCTTAACCTAGACACCTCCTCCATATATAACTTTGAGTTATGTTTTGAAGAAAAAAACAAGAACAGGAGTTTATGTTGTTGTGCAACCGAGAGCAAATGGCAGTTTCAGCTTTCTCTTATTATTAGTGGTCTGCTTAGTCGTTACAAAATTTAATTTATTTTTTTCTTCTTTATAAATGTGTTAGGCTATTGTCGAGTCTCTTACGTCAAACCTTATTTAGGTGTGTATTTATGTAAAATCAGTAGATATTCAAACCTTATTTTATTTTGTTTTTTGACTTTTAGTGAATGTTTTGCGTTTTGGTTTAGGAAGAGCTGCTCCTGTGTTTTGATATTAATGTAATAGTGATTCTGTAATCTTTAGGATTTATAATTGTATTTGTGGATATATTTTTTTTGTTGAAAAACAAACTTCTTATTACCAATTTTATTCTTGCCAAAAACTCCAACAAAGATCGGAATTTTCAACAAAGTATACATTTCAGATACTAAGGAAAGAAAGTCCTGAATGTATTCTTACATAAGTCTATGGTCTAAACCATAAACACCAACATTACAAATACATATCATGACATTGTTACCAAACTACTGTGATGAAACCAACTTTCTATTGTTTTGTTTCAGTTTTGCAGAAATATTTCTTACTCATCATCCCTCTCTGTAACTTTCTGAGACGACACTAGCTGCCAAGGAGTGTACGTGAGTCCCCTTGAGATAAGGTAAAGCACAAACACCACATACGCAACAGCGAATATAATCACAAGCACAAGCAACACCACACTCGTGGCAGCTCCTGAGAAGAAATCCACCATCAGATACCCATTAATAGCTATCACAAGAGCAGCTACAATCCACGAGATGGTCTGCACTAAAGGCTGAATCTTAAAGCTTCCCATGATCTGCTCATTAGACACCAAACAAAGCAGAGGGATAACAGCAAAAGGGATCTGAACAGACTGAAGAACGTTAAGCCACTCGTTAAGCTCGTCAAGCATAGAATCAGAAGAATCAAAGACAAGGGCCACTATCATTGTCGGTACGATGGCGCAGCTTCGTGTGATCAAGGCTCTAACCCATTTCTTCATCTTGAGATTCAAGAACCCTCCCATTATAAATTGTCCTGCATAAGTACCTGTGATGGTACTACTTTGACCAGCGGCTAACACTCCTATCGCCCATATATAGAGTATCGGGAAAAACCCGCCACCGTATTTGTCTTGCAAGTACTGTCCAGCGTTTGCAAGACCGATGGTGTCTGCTATGTCTGTCCCGTAGAACGATTTGGCGAAAACGGTGGTGACAAAGACGTTGATGATGAAGGAAACAGCGAGAGCTCCGGTGGACTCAATGGAGTAGTACTTGAGAGCTTCTTTGACACGGACTTTCTTTTTCGGATCAACTTCTCTTGATTGAACGAGAGCCGAATGCAAGAAGACGTTGTGTGGCATGATGATACATCCCACGATTCCAACAGCTTGTTTTATTGTCCTGGAACTGAGTTTTGGAACCAATGCACCTGTGTTGAACAGAAAAAATTACCATTTGTAGATTCTTAGTGTTCTAAAAATCGGTCTAGGGGTGGCGAAACAATACCATACTCGAAGATCAGGTCAGAACAATACTATTTTCTAAAAAATCGGTCTAGACGTTCGAAAAATCGGTCTAGACGCCCGCCTAAACATTAAATCTTCTATAAAACGGATAATCATTACCAAGCGATTTCTTGAACATTGGTTTTACCTCTCCAACCAAAGAATCAAAATGTTTAGAAGATTATAACTAACTATTTTCTAAAAATATCGGTCAGGCGTCCGCCTAAACAGTAATCTTCTATAAAACGACACCACCTAACGATTTCTTGAACATTGGTTTCACCTCTCCAACCAAAGAATCAAAATGTCTACAAGATTATAACAAACCAATTTTGTTCAAAAAAAAAAAAATTATAACTAACCAACAAGGAGTTCAGTTCCACTGGGTTTAGTCTGACCAAACATCCAAGCAAATGCAAGCGCCATGGTTGCAATCAAAACAGCAAACACAGCTTCTAGCTTCCTTATTCCATAATTCTCCAGAAATAGAAAGATGAAACTGCAATCAACCACACATACCAATATTAAAATCAAGACCAACTCTAAAAAAAATCAAGAAAAGAAGATAATATAGAGAAACTAACCAATCCAAAGCAGTGATAACAACACCAGCCCAAAGAGGAACCAAACCATTAGACAAGATCTTAATAGCTATAGCACTACCAATAACCTCCTGAATATCAGCACCGATCAAAGCAATCTCCGCCATGATCCAAAGCACCATCCTCGCCCAAGTTGGATACTCCTCACGACAAAGCTCAGCAAGGTGTCGCCCCGTGGCGACACCTAGCCGAGCGGAGAGAAGCTGAATGAGAAGCCCTATAGCCGTGGCCCACATGAGGAGCCAGATCAAGGAGTAGCCAGCTATGGCTCCAGCTTGAAGATCGCTCTCTAAGTTACCTGGATCTAAGAAAGCGATGCTCATGAGGAAACCAGGTCCTGTGAATAGCCATAGCTTCTTCCATGAGAAGGGTGGTGAGTTGCTGCCTAGCTCGTCGTTGTAATCGGCGCCGTCTTCTTCGTCGACTCCGACTATGTGGACTTTCTCGGTTTCTTCGTAGGCTCTTTCTTCGGATGGTAATAAGGGACGCGTGCTCTCTCTCTCCGACATGTTGAGTGTAAGTTAGGTGCCTCTCTCTTTTTCTTGTTGCTGGTTTGTCTTATATATAATCAGGTTGATGATAGATAAGATTATTACAGAACTTTGTGAAGTGTGGAGAGAAGTGTACAGAGGTATGGTTTTTGTCAACCACTTCGAGATCGTGTGAAGCTTGGGATTATCGCATCTTTTTTTTTCTTGGGAATATCAATATCTCCACAGAATTAAAACCTCTATTTAAAAATTACATTAAAAAAAGGCTTTTCTATTCGTTACGCCATCTATTAAACTTTTTCAATTAATGAAGAAAATCAACAGTTACGCGATTCTTTTTCATCTACATTTTACAATCTCCACTATTCTTTTTTTGGCTTATTTGCTGAATAGATTTTGAGAAGAAAGAGAGAGATAGAAAGAGAAAGAGGAAGTTTTAGCTAGTTAGTGAATTTATGTTTATTTAATTAAAAAAATTGTTTATTTATTTTAGTTACTGAATTTGTAATTATTTTTTGTCTATAGGATGTAACTTCCTTTTTTTGGTCGAACAATCTCCCCTATTCATTATCTATAGAGATTGAAATTTTCTGGTTATTATGTTTGAGACGTGGTGAGGAGTTAACAAAAAGGAAACAGAATGAGAAGAAGCGTGTTTGGCGTGGGGGTTGCTCGACTCCGTCAGCTCTCGCCACGTGCTATCATCCACTTCAATGGTTTTCACCTAACCGGGGCGTACGACGGCCATAAAAGACAAGACATTTTGTCTCCAAAGTCTTTATACTTCTCTGTCCACGACTAGCTCTCAATTTGTAATATAAAAAAATCACATCCCATTCGAAAACATATGCATCTCTAAATTACTTGTTAGTTGTTACTAACGCACCACATCATGAACCAAATTAAGATAATCAAATCTAACCTCAGCTACAGTTTTGCCATTCTTCATTTTTCTAGAGTTTAGCGTTATAATAAATATGTGCAGCAACAAAATAAGGCTAGGACTGAGAGTGTTAGAAGGCTACTACTACACTTACAACTTACATTCTGAAATCAAGAACACAGACCGAGTTATCAGCGAAACAAGCTGCAAGTTTGTTACCTTCCTTGTTCCAACACACTTCGAATATCCCTCCATCTCCTGTGTATGTCTTCACTATCTTGCCTTCTTTTAGTGACCATATGTGTATCCTTTTGTCCACTGACCCACTCGCTATGTACTCCCCGCTTGGACTAAACGCCAATGAGTAAACCGCGTCCCTTCAAATCATCATCAGATTTTGTTACTACCAATGAGGTTAAACCACAAAACACCATCATAACATCTCGAGGGTTTTAAAGTGTTTTACCTGTGGCCGTTGAGACTACATAGCATCTTTCCGAGTTCTGGTTCCCATATCTTTACTGTTGAGTCAAACGATGCACTGATCCATTCAAAGAAATAACAGACAGAGAGATATGTTACACACAATGTCACTTTACTTTTTTCTAAGTATTCTATTTTTTTATCACCTGGCAAGAGTTAGCGGTTTGTTAGGATTGTTGGTTCCTGGTCCTGTAGGGCTCCATCTGATTGTATAAATCTCCTGAATATAACAGGATATCCACATCTTTAGACACTATTAAAAAACATTCTTCCAACACTTAATGAGATTATGTTTACCTTGTTATGGTCTCGGAGGTCATGAACAAAGTTGTCTTGTTTTACATTCCATATCTGAAGAAAAAGATACACATAAAACAGTATAAGGAGACAGAGAAACTGACCACATATGTCTGTCTAATTCAACGGAAGTAAAAAAAAGTATTAAATTCAGACCTTAGCAGTACTATCATCAGAGCATGAGGCCAGTAATGTACCGGTAGGATCCCATTTCACGCAATTAACCTCACCCTGCAATCACCGAGTATGATTGGTGATTAGACAAATGTCAGATTCATATAGGACTTAATGAAAAGATATGAGAAACATTACCTGATGACCAGCAAAGGTTTTGACAGGCCGAGTATCTCCAATCTTACATAAGTAGATCATGGTGTCCGTAGAACTCGTTGCAAAGGACACGTTGTTGCGCCAATCAACATCAAGTGTTGGCCCTATATCCGCAATTGCATCCAATGTTATTAGCATCCAAAAACTTGTATCACATCGACGTTTCATCAAATAAAAAAGTTACCTGAATGAAATTCAAATTGCTGCTTCCATTCCTCTGCCTTTACATCCCAAACAACAGCGGTTTTATCAACACTTCCGGTTAGAAGATAATCACCTTTCTTGTTCCACTTTAGGGAAAATATAGGTCCCTTGTGTTTGCTCAGAGTACTTATGAGGTCCCCTAAAAATGTAAAAAGAGAGTCATTTGTACATTTTTAGAAGCTAATCCCCAAAAACAGACTAAAAAGGTGAGTAAACTTTTTGGCCAACGATGCAGAATGATAATGTTTTTTACTAGCTGATAGCTTTTCCTGTTTTAATCGCAGAACTCGTGTTACTAGTGTTATTACCAAAGCCAAGACAACTCGAACCTCAGTAATTTGTAGCTCCCGCTAAGAGGGAAGATATAGATACTATTATACTAACTTAGGCATAAGTCACTGAGAATCTTCATCGATCCATAGTAAAACTAAAGTTTAATTCGCATAAAACAGAGATGCTAGTAATACAAGGAGCTAAGTCACACAAGGAGTAACAAAAGAAAGGAACGTGAACATACCATTTGTAGTCCAGATTCTTGCTTGGCCATCACATGAACCAGTTGCAAGCAAAGTCCCTTCACCCTGAATATTCAGTAATCATATAACACTTTAGCAGAAACTAAGGCACTAATCCGGAAATACTTCATATATTCTCTAGCTTTTGAAGAACAAAGGACAGACAGAAATTAGAATATTAAGCTGTGAAAATGCTCACATTCCAGTCAAGTGTAGTCACATCCTTGCTCTTCTCGTTTGACTTTCCTTTTGAATGTTTCAGGATCAAAGCGTTGATACTACGACCAGATCTTAGCGGCCCTTCCGGAATATTCCAGATACGTGCTGTGGTATCACCTGACCTGATATTTTGCAAAGGACACATAAATGGAATAAGAAAAAATAATTATCCGCATGAGTATTCATCTTTCTATACAAAACTACGTACCCTGAAGCAAGCAATGAAGCCGACGGACTCCATGCGCACGCACAAACCTGAGTCAGCAATAAAGACAGAAACGTAATCTCAGTATCAAAATTAACTACGATTCATGAAGTAGATACCAGTGAAGATTGAAATAAACTATACATAGGAAGTTACACTATGATGTAAAAACGGTTTTTTTGGATTGAATAAGATGTAACATTCATTCAAAAAAAAAAAATAAACTATACAACTTTCCTAATTAAGGGATAAAATCAACTAAAAAGGTACCTCAGAAGTATGCCCTTCCAAAATCCTCACGTCAGAATCAGGAATGTGAGACGGCAGAGATGTTGGAGTCATGGTGATATCCATAGGTTCTGCAGCTAATAAAATACAATAAACAGACATTGTTATCTGGAATATAAATGTTTTTCTCACAGGATTCGGTCCAAAAAAACAGTAACACAGAAAAAAAACAAAAAGCTATGAAGACCGACCAGAAGAACGGCCATGCTCTTCATCCCCAGCATTATCTTTCTCACTTTGGTCAATAGCCATGTCCTTATTACCATCTCGAAGCTGGTTTGCATGAGCCTTTTCCCTCTCTATCTTCTCTCTTTCCCTCTCCCTCTCTAATTTCAGTCTCTCCATCTCCAATGTTTCTCGTTCCATCTTCGCTCTTTCTCTCTCTTTTTCTCGTTCCATCTTCTCCCTTTCCCTCTCTCGCTCCTTGTGGTGTTTCTCATGCCTATCCTTTTCCTTGACACGGTTGTTGCGATCTCCATCAACCTCCTTCTCGTTTTCTTTACATCTCTCTCTGTCCTTCTCCTTATCCCTCTCTTTCCTCTTCCTTTCCCTAAGCATCTCCTGCAACTCGTTTACGTCCTTTGAGATCAGATCCAACGGTTGAAAGAATGAGAAATCCTCATCAATCTCCACTTCCTCCTGCAAGTTAAAAAAAAAAAAAAAAAACATAGCTCAAAGTCTAACCAGACCT